CGAATTAAGTTTTGTCTTCGGCAGACGATTCTTCCATTATTCGTCCGAAATTAATATTCTGCGTTCAGCAGTATAGGCTAAATACCAAATATTTGTATGTTGCATCTCTAATTTAAAAGCAGCAATTGTTGTTTACTTTTAAAAATTTAATTTTTTTAATTATAATTTTACAGTGCTGAGCATAATCTTGTATGTCTTTACATTTTAAAACCTTCTTGAAAAAGTTTTTTTTGCAATAACGGACCCTGTTTGCAGAAATTCATAAAAGCGGACCCTGGTTGAAAGAATGTGAGTAATTTTTTCACAATTTCACGAAAAACGGACCTTTCACAGAATGTCTGGACAGACCCCTGATTATGAAAACAGGCAAATGTATATTATCTTACTATCTTCCTATAAATGCTGATTTCAGAATTGTATGATTTGTTAGAAAATATCTAAAATGCCGTGCGCTATCTTTCCCAAATTCTGATTGGGCGACTGCCTTTTTTAAAAAAAACATGTTTCGAAAGATACTACCAAGCTGAGTAAATACTTAATATCATTTTGTTTGCGAAAAGAATATAAAGAGTTTAAAAAACATATTTGGGCCGGATAGCCTGGTTGGCAGGGCGCTGGACTCACGTTCGTGGGAATGAGAGTTCAAATCCAGCCGGCTGAATACACCCCTTGTCGTAAAGGGTGACTGGTGCACGTTAAATTTGTCGGTAACAAAGTCCTTCATGTTTCTATAACAAATTATACCTCTGGTGGGAACTGAATTGCAGGTAGGTCGTTCGATATTCGGGTCAAAGTTACGATGTGGGGATGAATGGGTCCACCCTATAAAAGGGTGTGACGTATAGGTGTGGCAGAAGTTGAGTTCTTGGCCATAGGTGGCGCCACTTTAAAACAAGAACAATCGCATCCCCTTCTGCCTTAATGACCGAAGAATACAGCAACAACAGGAAAAAGCATATAAAGAATTTTCCCTCTCAACCCTTTCGACGGCTCTATTCTGCCATCTGTCTTGCGACTCGCGCAATTTTCAACTCACACAATTTTTAACTCACACGTATTTTCCCGAGTACGGCAACCTACATTCCCTCCTATATTGCAAAATTGAATTGGATTAATTCTTATACTTCGAAGATTGCGTCATCGTATTTTAAATTCCGGTTCATTTATAGATGTTCAGAATCTTTCAGTTTTGAGAGAAAAAATGAGCAGTGAAAAGATATTGGCTTATCAAATATCTCATTGTTGTGGGTACGTTTCATTCCCTGCCCTATTTAAAACACATTCTGGAGGCATCTTTAATTTTTTATGACGAATATAATTTTTAGTTAATGGCTACCCGCGGGTCAAGTAGATGGATAGCTAAATAATGACTCGAAATGTTTCTAGTGGAATTATCCAATGGTCATGTTGAGCTGGAAGATAGGTCCGGCCTTAGCCACTGGCAACGTGGTCATCCTGAAACCAGCTGAACAGACTCCACTGACAGCCCTCTACTGTGCCAGTCTCATCAAGGAAGCTGGCTTCCCACCCGGTGTGGTCAACATTCTTCCCGGTTATGGTCCGACTGCGGGGGCTGCCATCGCTTCACACCCGAGAGTGGACAAAGTGGCCTTCACAGGATCGACGGAGGTATTCTTTTTCTTTCAATTGATTGTTCTCTCTTTGGAATGTTAGGTGCGCATTTCTTTCTTTCACTGACGAGCGCGCATAGGGGGGGGGGCTAGAACGGCCCGGGTACCCCTAATTAACTTTCAGAATTTCCGTTTTCAGTGATTGAAAAAATTAAGAAATATTTAAAAACAAACCTTTCTTTTTTTTCGCAGTAGACATTAGAAGCAATTCTTTTGAATCTATTTATGTATTTATTTTTTTATTTAAGGATTCTTTCTGCCTAATACATGATTTAGAAAAATGAAATAGCCACTGACCTTTTAAAATAATAAAAATTCTTTTTTTTTAAAAAAAGAGAATGAATGGCCAGATCATTTTCAGTATTGTGAATTATACAAAGCAATGCTATGAAATTAAACTGTTTCAGTAACTTCCTCAATAATTTTTAAGGCAACGGGACTGTATTTTCCAGATCGCTGCTACAGTAGAGTGTAGCCGAGAGACGGGCTTCAGGAAGTTCAAACACCCCCATTGTACGTGGCCATTTTCTGTTTTGTAGAGTTTTTTAATTTTTTAAAAATATTTTATTGGTTGTAAAATAAAAATTCCAGTGATACTTCAGTAGAGCCTCTTGTTATTCAGAACTAAAATAATTACTATTGCTTTTCTGTGAATTTTTTTTCTTCTGAAAAGAAAAGAAAAACGGTCTCTTCCTATTCTTTGTCTGTTAAACAAAGAATTATGTAGGAATCTTTTAAAGAATTCTGTTTTTCTGTCTGGGTCAGTCATTATAAAAGCATTTATTTGTCCATGGTGCGTAGCGTTTTTAAAAAGTGCTTAAAGGTGCATTAAAATTTACATCAAAATGCTAAAAAAAAAATTCGACCTTATATCTTAAAATTTTTATCGATTATTATTAAATAAATTAAATATATATAAAGATAATCATTTTGTTTTTTAGATAGGGAAATTGATCCTAACAGCAGCCGGGACATCGAATGCGAAGAGAGTGACCCTAGAAATGGGTGGTAAAAGTCCACTGGTTATTTTCGATGATGCAGACGGTATATTCTCTTTCTTCAATATTCTATGTTACAAAAGATGCATTTAAGTATTGCTTATCTTTTGAGGGGAGAATTTTTCTAGAATACGGCATAATCATGTATTTGCACAAAAAGTCATACGAAATTGAAAAAATAGTAATGATTTCAATAGGTAGTAATATATCCATAGGGGAGCGTTATTAAACTTGTTATATACATAATGAGGTATAATCCTACTATAGGTAATGTAATTTTTTTTTACTCATTAAAATGTGTCTAGAATCTCTTTTAGTGTCATTTAAATCATTACCCAAGTCGAAATTCTTTGATGGTCCCATCAAAATATTTTCATACCTGCCAACTTTTACGCATTTGACGTGAAATTTTATTTCTATATTTAAAGTGGTAGTAAAATGTATTCTTTTTATATATTCCTTGCATTTATAAACTTAATTTATAATCTTTTTGATCACCACTATTTTTAAAAAAAATGAAGCCTGTATAATAATATGTAATACTGCTTTTCTAGCAAACATAAGCTTTCTCAAAATGCAGCGCATGTTTCTGTCTAAAATTGTAATTCTATTTTACTACCACTGGGAGAAATCATCCTCGAAAGGATTGGCAGGTATGCATTTTGATGGTCGGTTTCAATGCGACTCATGATGGTCCACAACCTCATTGAATGGTCACCCTGATCCAACATTATGAGTTCATGACTATGCCAACAAACTTCCATCACTCCATGATGGAAAATGCTACTTTAATACTATGATGGTCACCCATCAAGAGAAGCTGAACTCTCATGGACACCCACAATCCATGACGATTCCTGAGGGTTCATGATGGTTCCAACAATGCATTTCCAGGTTTAATAATAATTCTTATTGATTTAGCAGGAATATACCATCAAAAGAAATTTAGATTTTTTTTCCTTTCATGTCGCCCTATCGAACATCAGTCCGAATTCTTACATTGGGGTGGTTCATGATCGTTCCAACATTTGATTTCTAAGGAACTATGATGGGAATTTCTGATGTTTCAGCATGAACAAACCATCAAAATAAGTTGTTATTCTAAAGTTGAACCATCATAAATGAGTCCGAATTTCTACATTGAGGAGGTGATAGTTACTTATGTTGGTGACTATCAAGATAATATTGCTCCATCAATTAAAAAACCATCAAAGATTTTGACTTGGGTACAAAGGCATGATTGAAAAGAAATTCTTTTTTCAGTGGATGAGGCGGTTGAGATAGCGTATGGAGCTCTTTTTGCCAATATGGGTCAATGTTGTTGCGCCGGCACTCGGACATTTGTCCAGGAAAAGATCTATGATGAGTTTGTGAAGAAAAGTGCCGCCAAGGCTCAACAGAGAATTCTGGGAGATCCTTTCAACACGGAAACCAATCACGGACCACAGGTTATTTATATACATTTTAATAGTACATCGCATCACTGTGTCTATTCTTAAACGCGGGACTACGAACGTGCTTAAGAATTCTGTTCCCTCAAGCTTATTTTTTGAATTCCTGAACCCTATATTTCTCTTCATTTTCTCAATAACCTCATTAAGTGAACCGTCTAATTCCCGATATTTTTGTGTTCTGACAGCCTTGTTTCCGGATTAAATAATCTCTGGCGTAAGTTGGAAATTATTTATTAGTTGATGATAATTGACTAGAAGGGGGTAAACTCTTATTAGTTGTGACATGAGGCAGTATTTGAAGAGACCTTAAATTTGTAGTTCACAGTTTAACCGCTTCCCTTACTATCCCGAGTTAACTCGGGTATGTATGCATTGCAAATATTTATCATCCCGAGTAAACTCGAACGTATGAGAGAATTCGTCAATATGTTTCGTTTTATCACGTTTTTATTCGGCCTGAAGCAAAACAAGATATAATAATAATCTGATGTGATTGGAAGTTTGCCAATTTTTTTGTTTGGTAGTTTTGTGAGACGTGTTTTGTACAATTGTATGTACGATGGTTGCTGAATTTACGCTGAAAAAAAAAAGAAAAATGTCATTCACGGGCGAAATTGCAGCTACTGCAGATGAGTTTTCAGATTATGAAGATGTGAACATATACAAAGACTAATATTTAATTTTTTTTTTCCTTGCCCGAGATAATATGGGATAGAAAACGGATGGTGAATTAAATATCTTTTAGACAGAAGAAAATAAAAACTTAAATTTCAACTTGGAACTTGTGTATTATGTTTTGTTTTAGTTCCTTGTATTTATGAATGAAATTAAAAAAAAATAGGTTGATTTTTTGCATTTTTATTTCTCAAAAAATTGGTAAGGAAAGCGATTAAAACTTAGATCGGGAACTTAAGTTTAAAAGAAAGAAAAAAAAATTCATAGACTTATCTTGTTTTAAATCGTGACATTTTTAATTGCCACTCAATTAGATGTAAATTCCTCTCCCATTAGAAATATCACCGTTCTTAAAAAACATTTGAAAATATTTCCTTTAAATAATGTATTCAAAATATTCCCGGTTAAATACTATGATTCTACTTAAGATTTTCACCCTTAAAAATCAAGAGTCATTTATTTATAAATGATGAGTCAAATCACTGAAAGGGGCTGTATAAATGCAAATATTATATGACCTCATCAGTCCATAAGTTTACTGCCATGCAAAATGACTTGACGCCTATTCTTTCTTCCCCTTTTGCTATTTACTACCAACGCTTCTTATTTCTATCTGCAGTTAATATACATCATTCGACAGAGTGAACACAAATAACAATATAATCCAACAACATTAAATAAGAGTCTGCAAGGACTGTCATTTTTACCTAACCTGATAGCAAAATAAGGTTTATTTTAACTCAGGAAAAACCTTTTAATGTAAACCTAAAAAGGTTTGTTACGTGTCAACCTACCTTCTCACCTTAAAACCAAATCTTTGACCCTCTGCTCTAATTCTACGTCTATTACCTCGATCCAAAACCTTCTATATAGAAACCTTAAATCGAGGTTGACTTATGGTTTTCAAGCTTGAAAAAAAATTCTTGATTAAAGCTAGTCTCAAGGGGAATACAATCTTAAATCATTAGAAGGTTTCTTCTCGTAAAGTCTTGTTATGCTCAACTAAAATCCACCTTGTCTTGAAATTTTAATGGACAACTGGATCCTATCGCTACTGTGACGTCACCTAAAACGTCATGAGTGACCACTACTTTTTTAAAAAAGCTTTAAAGAAATATTATATTTTTAATCCTTTTAGGATGAAATGTTTGTAACTGCACTATTTTTGCTTCATTGAAAAAAGGTTTTTAGTACAAACATTTTCGTGACACTCGAAAGAAAATTCCGACGTTGCGGTAAGGTTACATGATTTATGGGTAAGCATCCACTAAAAGGTCACATCACAATTGCATAAAATACAATTTGGGGGTAGATCCGTTAACTCTAAATTCAAAAAACTGATTTAAAATCTTTTTTCCAACAGATTGATGGTGATCAATTGGATAAAATCCTGGATTTGATTGATTCGGGAGTAAAGGAGGGTGCGAGGTTGGTGTGCGGGGGTAAGAGAGTAGGGGAGAAGGGATACTTTGTCTCCCCCACCGTCTTCGCTGATGTGAGAGACGGGATGAGGATCGCCAAGGAGGAGATCTTCGGTCCCGTTCAGCAGATCCTGAAATTCAAGACACTGGATGAGGTGATCGAGAGAGCAAACGACACATTCTATGGTCTGGGATCTGGAGTGATCACCAACAACCTCAACACTGCACTCACATTCGCACAATCTGTACAATCAGGATCAGTATGGTGAGTTATTCCATCATTTCATGGTGAGTAACGTTTTTAAAAAGCTCTTAAAAGTGCATGGGGTGTTTTTAAAAAGTGCTTCATTTTTCTCTCTTCGAAAATGCGGTTTTAATTCTTTACCCTGTCGATTTTCGCCTTGTTTTTTGCAGAAGCGTGCTTTTTCCATCGCCTCTATTCCACGTTTTTACAATTCATTCAACCAAGGACCGGGATAGCCTGGTCGGTAGGGCGCTGGGCCCATATCCAAGAGGTCGTGGGTTCGATCNGTTTTTACAATTCATTCAACCACAATCCATTTCGGCGTACCGTCTGTCCATAGCGTATGAAAGCGCTAATCATTTTACATTATTTTATCATGATCTTTGAAAATTATTTTGCGTTTTTTTAATGTATATAGTGCTTAAAAATATTTTTTGAGTGCTTAAAAAGTACTTAAAATGTGCTTATTTTTTGTTGAAAGATTTGTCTACGCACCTTGGGTAAGAGAAAAGATCATTTAACGGTTTATAAAGAAATGACGGATATATTTACAAGAAGTAGAATGCAATTGATTCACTGACTCATATTGAAAGGCCTGGTGAGGCTTTTTGTCGAGTTCCATCAAAGGTGTGGTTATGATTTCAAAAGATCATATATTTCAGATATATGCAAAAAAGATGAATTTTTCAAAATATTTGTTGCAAACGAAATCAAAACTAGTTTCGATTGTTAACTTAGCAACAAGAGCTGACGGTTTTGGTATCGTTAGTTCGAATACAATCTTATCTCAAGTTGCTCGCCCTGTGATGCCGTATCTTCAGTATCACGGGGGCAGGGGATTCTAATTGTTAATCGTTGGGCTAATCATGAGAGGTTTTCTCTCGCGTGTTAGTTTTATCCAAAAAGTTCTCCACAAATTTCAGTTTTTGCCCGAATGTTTTTTTTTAATTTTGGAGTTTTCTGGGTTAGGCTGAAAATGACGAGTCTGCAGAGATGAACAATGATAGTCTACAAATGGCTCAGCTGTTCAACGTCTCTAATAAAATATAAAATAAAATAATCATGATTAGCGTCACAACTAGGGTTACAGTTTATAGGCGATGGTTTCATCAAATTTTAACGAGGATTCATGCTTCATAATTTTTTCATACTTTAATGGGCTTTAAAACAGAATTAGCCGAATGTTTATTTTGTAGTCTTTCATAAACATTTTATTGCAACTTTCAAGGTGTATTAACAACGAATCAACAATAAAAAAAACTAGAATTTCTCAATTGGCGAGTCATTCAAAGGCAGAGAATGCAGGCATAAAAATGTACCTCTACATTGCGTTACGGTCGTAAGATAACTATTTTATTTTAAATATTTTTTTTTTTACAAAATGGTGTATAGTGAATGGAAAATACTTTTTAAGTATTATTTAAACGCATTCAATTATTAGAAAGAAATAAGAAGATATCCAATTGATCATTCAACTTAAAAGATAATTTTTCGAACCTGTGGATAAAAAAATTTTGTTATTAATTTCCCTCTATCTGTAGTGAGCGTTCGCAAATTAAAAGCTATAAAAACTTATTTAAAGTCTACAAAGACAGAAGAGAAACTAAATTCTTTGGCGAAAATTTCGATCGAAAATGAAACCACAAAAACATTTGATTTTGAAAAGTTTGCGTCTGCTAAAATATGAAATTTTTTTTTAATTGTTTATGCTTGTATGTTGTGAAAGATTGTTCTCATTAAAAATATTCTAAAATTCTCATCCATTAAACTTCTTTTTTAACCTTGAAATTACTTTTTATTTATCTTCTTCGTATGTTTCTGATTTAATTTTATTTTGTTTTATAACCGTCGTTAAACAGACTTCCCATGCTCAACTCAGTGTAATTATCAACCTGATCCAGAAGACAAGGGAACTCCTTGTCCGAGGAGAAATTTGCCTTCGTGGATGATTTTTTGAAGTTACTAACCTGTATCTGCAAAACCACGAAAATCTCCCACGATTAGCCTAACGGCAAGGAGACTCTAACTCATGGGTTGACAAACTTTTTGATCATCGACCCCTACATAATTTTTCGAAATCTCCATCGACCCCCATAAAAGTAATTTTCTGTTAATTAAGATAAAACTCTATTGGATATTGTGTTTGTACATTTATTTTATGATTTTGAACATTTATTCAAGTATTAGTACATAGTGTAACAATAGTTTTATGAAAAATATTTTAATGTTGAAATATAAATACCTTAATATTTATGAAATAATAAGTAATTATAAGTAGAAATAATAAGTAAAGTAACTACGGATTTATTGCTTCTTAATCAATTACATGGGTGTGCCTGGTATTTNAATTTAATAGGAAAAATAAGTTATTATTTTTTCCTTCAATGCAGATTCTTTTTCCTAAATTGAGTTGAGGGCGTCCGGTACAGTTTGTTTCCTATTGGCTCAATCAGTTTATATTTTTATTGCTTTTGGCATTACGAAATAGAAAAACAAACTGGCCAAGATGAGAGCGCATTCGCCTTGTAGTGAACCGGGTTCGAATCCCGGTGATGGCTGGTCGATATGAATCCGCACCCGGCTTGTACCAACCCCTGTACTGACGTGAAATATCCTAAGTGGTAGACGGATCGCGGGTTAGAGTCCTTTTGCCGTCAGGCTAACCATGGGAAGTTTTCGTGGTCCACGTGACGCAAATGTGGGTGAGTTCCATCGAAAAATCCTCTACAAAAGCTATTTTCTCCCAATACTTGATTCAGGAGTTCCCTTGTCTTCTGGATTGGGTTCAAAATGACAAGACTACGGAGTTGAACATTAGAAGTCGTAAACCCAAAAATTGGGTCGGCTGACCGCGATGGTTATATATAAAAAAAAAATTATACTATGGATCGCTTCTACCGTCATAACTGGTATTGGTAGCATGAAAGAGATGTCAGTTTGATATTGACGCTCAAAAACGATTGATTCCACATATTTCTGCAGTAAATGAATTTTTTTGATCCTCCAAAAAGGACTTTAGTTCATTGAAGTGTTGTGATGCATGTTTACCTCATCACTATTTATTTATTTTACTTCACGTTCAGCGTTTTTGAATTTTCACCCCCCTCTCCTCAAGTGGCCCCCTCACCACCTCAGTTTAGCGAACATGTCGAGAGCAAGTTTCTCTGAATTCTGCACAAAAATAAATTATTTCTTTACCTAAACAAAACTTTCAGCTTCACTTATTTAGAAACTATTTGTGAATTTTCTAAACTACATTTAAGAATGTTAAGTTTATTCTGAATAGTGTTGACTCGAATAATAAATGGTACATCTCTAACATATTGGTTGGAATTCATTTCTATTGGACTGATATACTAGGAAAATAATTCTTTTTTTTTTAAACCAAGAAGAAACATTGCTTAACGTAATTCGTAAAATTTGTTTTTGAATTCTGTATAGACTATATATATTCTATATCGAATGGAATGGCATATTTTCTCGTATTCTAAGATCTTAATAAGAGTGAGAAAGAGAAAAGCATTCCATAAATTTCGAGATTAAAAGTGCGTGAAAGGCAAAAGATGTTAAGACCTACAAATGTATTCTTATTAAAAGAAAAAAGAAAAATGATTTTTTTTTTTTTAATTCTTCTTAATTTTACTTTAATGTTGGTAGTAGTGTGATGATGATGATGATGTGTTTTCAGGGTGAACTGCTATGATGCAACAATGCCGCAGACGCCCTTCGGTGGATTCAAAATGTCTGGTCAGGGGAGAGAGTTGTAAGTAGCATTATTATTTATTTGACGCCTTACTTGTTACGGGTGTTTAATGATCAAATGCTAAGTGGTGATTTTGATGTTTTCCTCAAAGGTAAAATTTGGAGGGGATTTATATATATAAAGTTAGATATAGAGAAAATATTTAAGTTTAATGAAAAGAGAAAAAGAAAAACTATTAAAGTGAAATATTAGATAATGTATAAAAATATATAATAAAAGCTGGAAAACATAAAAATGAAAAGATATAATCTCTCCATCAACTGACACGATTATATCCGTAAAATGTATTATGGCGCGTTCTTACTGCGGTACTTAAGCGCGTTCGATGTGCTGTAAGGAATAGCCCGAAAATGGATGTGCGCAGGGTGGTAACATTATACTGGATAATTTAAAGAATAAAACAAAATCCCACTATTTACACTTTTAGCTCCATGTGCGCTTCAGTTTTGCTATTTTGTAATCTGGTAATCCTATTACGAAAATATTTTAAAACATTAATTTTTTTCCGTAAAATGTAAGTAGAAAATTATTTTCTTCGCTTTCATTTTTAATCTGAAAACTTTTTTTCTAAAAAACAAATCTGAATTTATTTTTTTTAATTTAGAGAAGATGAAAAAATTTACTGTTCAAAAAGAAAATAAAAAATCTTATTATTATTTTTTTTAGGGGTGAAGATAGCTTACACGAATACTTAGAAGTCAAAACAGTAAGTTGTTTCAACAATTTAATCACCGTTCTTTTTCAATTCAATATTTATATAGTTTTCTAACCCTGATAATTGTCAGAATTGTCTTAAGCATTTCATTTTTTATTTGTAATTTTTGCATACATATTTATTTTATTATAAAAAAAATGTAAGTGCTTTAGAAGTGCAATATTTTTCATCGCCTTTCGACTCCATATTTTTTTTAGGAATGTTTTATTTTTAATTGTATCACTTATTGTTTCAGGTCACTATCAAGATTCCTCAGAAAAACTCTTAAAAAGCCATTCGAATCTTAAATAGTGTATTTTTGCAACGAATGCCAAAACTTGTGATTCCTACAGATATTTTTGAATAAAATGGAGTTAAATGGAAGAAGGTATTTCTTTATAATGAAAGTAAATGAATAAATGTGTGTGATAGCTGTGTTAAACCAGAGATTCTCAATTACTGTGCCGCGGCACTTTTGCGTGCCGCCAAATTTTAGAAATGATATAGTAAATATTATAATGTTTTTTTTTAATGACGAGTAAATTTTAAATTAAAGAAAAGTATATATATGTAATAAAATATATATTTACTTTTTCTAATATTTCCACACCGGCGTGAACAACTTTGTCTCTGACAATCTTCAACTGTTAAAATAAGTATGAAATTTAATGACTGTTAAAATTATGAATGAACAGAAGAAAGCAAGCTAAATATTAACTTACCAAAGGAAATAAAAACTAACAGTTAAAATTAGCTATGCAGTGAATAATTGTTAAAACAAATTAACTAAGGATAACTAAAAAAACAAGCTAGCTAACAATTAAATAATTTGCAAAAATGCGAGTTAACAAGGAATCACGAAAAATAACAATGTAAAAAAACTAACAATTAATAACTATAAAAAACAAGCTAACAATTCATTACTAGCAAAAGAGTAAACAAGTAACTAAACTAAAAAGAAAGTTAAGTAAGTCAACACATTTCAAAATCGATAAAAGTGTGCCACGACGAAAAAAAATAAAAAAAGTCTGAAAATCATTAAATATAATTCATAATAATTAAATAATTTAGTTTAATGAATAATTCCCACATAATTGCTTTTTAAAACTATGTACTAAAACTAGCATTCATGCAGTATGAAATAAAATAAAGCAGTGTGAAGCAGTTTTGAGTTTCAAAAGTATTAAAAAAAATTCCATTAAAACCTTACAACTGAAATTACGTGGAATTTTGGAAATAGGTAAACCCTCTAATGAGTCATCTTATCAGAGTTTTAATTCGTAAACGAAAAACAAACAAACATTTGATTTAAATAAAAAAAAATTATTTTTAAAGAAAAATCGCGATTTTTGTCAACCTAGCTATCTGGCAGTCAGAAGGATCTGACCCTTTATTGTTAATGAAGGTCTTCTTCGAATATTATAAAATCAAAGTATTGATGAAGTACACTTAAAATGCCTAATTTTGTCAGCCTCTTCAAGAATCGTCAAAGCAAGAAAGTCAATTGGAATGTTAAACCATACTAATTCCAGTTTCGTTTCCACGATTCATGGGTCGATCAACCCTTTTTTTTTTATAACCGTCGTTGAACTACCGACCCAATTTTTGGGTTCACGACTACTCATGTTCAAATACGCAGCCTTGTCATTTTGAACCCAATCCAGAAGACAGCTGAACTCCTGGAACTATTGGGAGAAATTTTTCTTCGTGGAGCCTTTTTTTGATGGAACTAATCCGCATTTGCTTTACACGGAGAGGATGACCACGAAATCCACCCACGGTTAGCTTGGCTGCAAGGGGACTCTTACCCATGATCCGTCTACCACTGAGGATCTTTCACGTCAGCACTGTGATCGGTGCAAGCTGGATGAGGAATTCGTATCGATCAGCCATAGCTGGAATTCGATTCAGGTTCACCTCTTTTGAAAGCGAACGCTCTATCCTCTGAGCCATCGCGGCTCTGATCGAAGTAGTTACACATATTGTCCATTGGGTTTAAGTCTGGCGAGTTTTGTGGCCAGGGGAATGCTGTAAATTTATCCGGGTGCTTTTCGAACCGGATGCGAGCTGTAGGGTATTGTCCAGCTCGCAGATACCATCATCCTCAGAAAAAACAATTTGCACAGAGCGAGAGAGACAAGGACGGAATCGGGTACTTCGAAAAGAAGAAGAAAACCTCCCATACCCACACATGTGACCTATGACGTCAGCGACAGCTAATATTTATCAGAAAAATGGCAGTATTAAAGTGGAGCTAAGTTTCTTTACATCAGTTAAAATGTTAAAAGAACGATAAGTTAATTCAATGCAGAGTGTTATCACACATCGAATATAATTCTTTTTCTTCGACTTCTTTGACTTAACTTAGATTTATTATTTGTTTATGTATTTTATTGTAACCTTGATATATTTATTTTTGTGTGTGCCTCCATGCATAATGAGTCTGTTTATCTTCCACATGGCTTTTTGTTAAGCCTCCGTGTAAATATAGAGTGAAAGAATTGAAATCTTTGTGAAAGAATATAGAATGTATCACTGAAGAGAATGGATACTTGACGGCTCGGTGAGTGATCAAGAACGCGTGATGCAGTCCATCGCACCATAAAAAGATCCTTATTTTAGACACATGTCCCGAAAGCTACTATAGCAACTCTTTTAAATGTGTGAAGTCATTTAAACTGTGCAAAAGGAATAAAAAGAAGAAAAAAAATTAAAAGAAATAATTTTATATAAATTCGAGCTAAACAAAGCACACATGTTAAGTAAAAAAAAAAAAGAAGTATCCTTTATAATACGTAGTTGCTGTTTGTGACGTAAGCAATATCCGTTGTGGCGTAGATGGACTGTTGACTACCCGTAAAATTACTGGACCTCATTTTCATTTCAGTTCTTTTGAGTGAGTACCGGAATCCCCTGTAGGTGTACCAGTCCACACCGTCTGCGTAGGAGGTGTGGGGTCCCTTCAAGTACAAACCGTTCGGGTTGGCAGTGTGGCAGTTGTTGTACCACCACCCTCCCTTGTACAGCTTGGAACAGTTCTGTCCAGTGTTGTTGTCATTGTCTCTGTCATTGGTTGTAAATTTGTTCTTGTTGTGTCCTGTCAGCGAATCACCTGTCAGAAAAAAAAGAATATCATTACATTACGGCCGCACCTGAAAGTATAGAGCAAACTTTCTTAATTGTCTTAAATCTTAGAAACCCCCGTTTATTTTTATTTCAGATTTGGGTTCTGGAAGGAAATAACCGAGTTTGACTTAAAGGCATTTTTGATCATTCATAAGAGGAAATTGTTGTTTCAAATGATAATATTTCGAGAATTACTATTGAAGCGAAAGAAGTGTTTGAAATTTTTTAATAAAAAAGAAGAGAGCCACATTATGAGACGCACTTTAAGATTCTACGAGGGTTGTAAATTAAATAGTGGCAACTTAACCTTGAAACTCACAGAAGGGCGGGCATGCGCAAATTGGATATGGGAGCAGTGAGGTGGCGCTGTTGTCGATGTGTAGAGTGCAACAAACAGTCGATTTGCTTAGAAGGGTAGTTGTTGCGTGGCGTTAAAGTGAGGAGTTTCGTTTCCATCGCTCTAAAGCATGTTGTGAAAAGGCTTAATGACGAAAAAAGACGAGATGCTTGAATCCATCGTGCTACTGTCCTATATGGTAAAGCATTTGCTCCAAAGGCTTCCACTAATCCTCGATAGCATTCTGTTGCATTTTTGCCACGGGCAACCTCGATTGTAAGCCACGACCGCTGATCACCTTTTGAAAACATGCTTTAGAGCGATGGAAACGAAACTCCTCACTTTAACGCCACACAACAACTACCCTTCTAAGCAAATCGACTTTTTTTTGCACTCTACACATCGACAACAGCGCCACCTCACCGCTCCCATATCCAATTTGCGCATGCCCGCCCTTCTGTGAGTTTCAAGGTTAAGTTGCCACTATTTAATTTACAACCCTCGTATGTAAAATCTTCGTGATCAGGTGGTGCAGCTTTGTTGTTTTTACGCGACTGAAACCGGTTTGCACTTGTTTACGTTCATGTATCAATTATTTAAATGAGACGATCTATAATATAAATTCGACGATTGGACAAATGACACGATATATTATATAAATATAGAATATTTTTTTATATAAGCTATTATATTATAACAATTAGACCCAATGATGAGACCCACTGTAGTGTTTTAATAATTGCATGTTTTGCACGAGTGTATAGGCAATACTTTTATATTTAAACATACATGTAATGGGGTTTTTATTCGGTAGATTTTTTATATACTTCCTATTTGTATTTATTTTTAACAATGTTAACACATGAACAAGTGTAAACCGGTTTCAGTCGCGTAGGAGCAATAAAACTGTGTAGAGTATCACCTGATAACTAAGATTTTGCATCTTATATTATAGAGCGACCTTTTTTGATAGATGAAGGTTGGCATTGTCGATAACTGCTTTCCCCACATTGGTGACCCAGACGTAATAGGATCACTTCGATGAATGGTCCACAGTTGACTTGCTATTTGTGACTGTGTTGCTTCTCCTTTATACACAAGGGGATCCTGCGCACACTCGAATAATAGCAACACACACTACCATGCAGATCTCTCACGGCTCAAAACCCAACCTTAATCCAGCTCTCCGGATTTTCACAAATACAGCAACTAGTGGTATCCCTTCATCGAATTCTATCCCTGATAAAATTCTGGTGGGGACGTAGTGTGGAGTAACTACCACTACGATTATCAAACATCAATTCACTAAGGCATGCTAACTTTATTCAATCCAGAGGTACCTTTTGATAGATGAAGGTTGCCATGGTCGATAACTACTTTCCCCCCCAATAGGAAATGTAAATTCAGATTAGCACTCAATCAACAACGAAGTTTCAAATGTTTATTTTTTTAATTCATAATATAAAAAAAAATGCACAAAAAAAATTATAATAGGTTTGCTTTTTTATTGTAACCTATTGTATTGTTACTTATTTCCTAAAACAAAATTCTTCCAAATGTTCAAAAGATTCTATTTGTTATAAGGTAAGTAAAGAGTGTCCGAATGCAATTCTAGGTAAAGAAAAAAACAATGGTTCAGAAAAGAAAATCACCGAATGACCCATTTAAAATTCTAATATTTAAAAAAATTATTTTTAAATGATATCAATTTTTTAAAAATTTCACTACTTTGAATGTTTGCATTAAATATTTATGTCTTTTACCTTTCAAAAAAGCAAAACAAAGTTTGTTACCATGATCTAATAAGTACATAAATGTATGAAATTCCTCTCTTATTGTTTTGTATCGCTATTTGCTGTTGTGAAGAACTTAAAATTTCATAACTATTGATAAAGACATATTTTTTCATTTTGTCCTCAAT